TCAACATAATTAGCCCTCTCCTCATTGTTGGTGGAGGAACTCCTACATTCATTGGCATAATGGCCATATTTGTGACAAGCATAACATTGAATATTAGACTTGTCATACCCTCTTCCACTTCCTCTCTTTGAACCATAATTTCCATGTCCTCGTGGTTGATTGCTCGACTCTTCATTGTTAAAATTTTGGCCACCTTCATTTCTTCCTCTTCCTTGGCCACAGCCAAAATTTCCTCCTCGACCACGACCAGGACTTTGGCCTCGACCTCGACTTTGACCTCTTCCTTGAGATTGTCCATGCTCTTGCTCTTGTTCTCCCAAAGAGACCTTAGTTTGGAGAACTTGGGCCACCGGTTCTTGCTTCCTTTTAAGTCTTTCTTCATATGCTTGTAAGGACCCCATGAGTTGATCAAGGGTCATGGAATCCAGGTCATTTGATTCTTCAATGGCAACACTCACAAACTCAAGTTTTGAGTCAAGTGACCTGAGAATCTTCTCCACAACACGTACATCTTCAATCTTCTCTCCATAACGCCTCATTTGATTGACAATGGAAGACACTCTACTGAAGTAGTCAAAAACAGATTCAGACTCCTTCATATGTAGAGATTCAAACTCACTACGAAGAGTCTGAAGGCAAACCTTCTTCACTTTGTCAATTCCTTTAAAATTATTCTCAAGAGTCCCTCAGGCTTCCTTAGCCTTTGTTGCAGTAGCAACTTTCTCAAACAGAGCTTCATCCAAGCCCATGTATATGATAGAGAGGGCATGTTGATCTTGCTTTCGAAGCTTCTGCAAAGCATTCTTCTGATTTTGATTCAAGACTCCTTCATTCTTTGGTTCATCATAGCCTTTCTCAACAACCTCCCATGCTTCCTGTGAGCCAAGCAATGCCTTCATGTGGATACACCAATATCCATAATTCTCCTTTGTAAGTTTGGGAACTACAAAGGGAAAAGTACTATTCATCTTTGGAAGTTAGCTTTGATACCACTTTGTTGGAAATAAAGATTTGGGAGGAAAGACTGGAGAAGAACACAAGAAGAAACTTTTCAGAAATGCTTCCTTATTCTTGGCTTGGATATATTAATGCTCAAGTACAAGCACAAGCCATTTTATAGGCACAAAAGACTCCAAACCCAAAACAATTAAATGCAACTCCTAGAAACTGTAAAGATAAAATAAATGGGTACATGAACTATGCTAGCACATGAACTATACAGGTACATGACTAAAAATAAGAGATTAATAAATCAAGTTTATTTTTCCAACAGCTCTCTCACCTTCTTGTCGTTGGCCACTCAAACCACTCCACGATCGAGCGAATTGGGTTTGCTGTGCGACACTGTCTCTGCAGTTGCTTTACTTTTCTTCTATAAAATGCGTGTTAAAACCATAGACCGAACAGTGATCTGCTGGGAGTCAAACCCACGCCACCCCAACCCTCTTCCCTTCTTTTTGACACAACCTCCTTCTCTGTTCTGGTAAAAGTTCTGGTTTGTGTTTCCTTGATCTTCGTCTTGTTTCCTTTTTCATGGCTGTAATCTTTTATCTTCTCTTGGATTTGCTTCATTGTGATTTGCTATTGATTCGAGGTTTTAGGGTTTGATTAGTAACATACCATGATTTTGGTGTTTGATCAGTTGATGGGTAATTGGAATTAGGGTTTATGTACCTGCTTTTTGGTTTTGAGTTTTGATCTTGAAAATTTAGTGCTCATTTGTGTCCTCTAGGTGGATTTTTAGCTCCAAATTGCTTAGGATCTTTGTTTGCCTAAATCTGCAGTAACTAGAAAGTTGTTTTAATGGTGGGCATGTGTACTATATGGATTTGTTTGTCAGCTTTAACTACACTTCTAATGTTTCATCTTGATTGTGGGTTGGTTATGCCATTGAATTTTAAAGGTTGGTTTTTTTTTTTTATATGTGTTTCGACATTGTTTAGGAAAAGAAGAAATAGTGTTGTTTTTGTTCCAGTCTTCTAAATTAGTAAATTTTGATCTCTTGTTCATAGATTAATCTTCTGTAGTGGTAGTAGTAATCATACACTCATACTATAAGGACTTGCCATAAGTTCGGATTTTTTTATGTGACAGTTATGGTCTTCATTCAACATCAACATGCCATGTTCTCTGTTAGCTTATACCTGCTTTGGACTGGATTGACTAAGAGTAGAAGTAACTCCTTTCATTTGTTGGGTTTAGGAGGCTGTAGTGCGAACCACCTTGAACCATTTACTTAA